GTGGATTTTAAATCACTATATTCATATCACTATACCACCAAGTGATTTATAAATTGTGTAAGCACATCACCTCATAAATTAAAATGGACAAACTTACAAAGTTCATCTTAGTTTTAGTGTCTTTTCTAAATAAATGCTGACTTGTCTGGAAGCACCTTGAACTTCTGAGCTCATTGTGGCCTCCCTCTGCTGGAGGATGAAGCTACTGCAAGTTCAGATCCTAAACCTCATCTTTGGACTCAGGACAATTACCCAATTACTGATTGCCCATTTGAAACCATTCTTTGAGAAATCTAGCGCACAAGGTAAGCTCATTCATGAATCAATCTAATAAAAAATGTAATGTTCAGCAGTTTTAGTTTACTGGAGGACAATGATCAGATAAAAGACGGAGTAATACTGAAAGAGGATCACTTAACTACTTGGTTATAAAGATCAAACCTAATATTCCTTATGGTGTGGTACAGGACAGAGCCACTACTGTGGGGTGACATTTTTCAAGAAAGAATGCTATAATTTGAGTTGTGCTGCATCGCTATTGGCCGAGTTGAGCAAAAGAGGTGCGGTAGCAATAGAGAGCAATTCACCAGACAAGAGCACCAACCTAAAGAGGTAAAAGGAGTGAAGTCTGCAGACCATTGATGCTGGAACTTTGTCAGGATTAAAGGTCAGTGCTCCCTCTACAGGTTCAAAGATGAGGGTGCAGTGCCAGTGGTTAGCTGGGCCCTGGGGTCCTGCTGGACTGAGAACATCAGTTCTCCAGGAAGCAGCCAGAGCCGATACGGATGGCGTGGACACCTAAAATAACTGTTTTTAGTAAAACATTCATTAACATTTACATTATTAAATATGTTTACTAATAAAACTGTTTGCAGAGTTTTCAAATTGGGTTTTTCTTTTAATAATGAATGAAAAACACGTCACATACAGTATTAAAACTTTTACTCAGACATGATACAACAAACAGAAACAAGAATTAATGACTGAAAACAAATTTTTTTTTCTTCTTTCAATCCCCGAAGCACACAATAGTCAATCTACTCCACGTGTAAAATGGAGCTGGATACAAACAGGACAAAGAACAGACACAAGAGAAACAGACAAATTTAACAGAAGAGTGACAGATTTCGTTCTCATTTTTCAGTTCTTGCATTTGTTTAATACTTTGTCACAAAGAAAAGGTGAACAGCGTAGCTGGAAACAAGGGAGACATAAAACAAGACAAAGAAAAAGTGAAACTTTTTAAGGTGAAGAGTAAATGATAAGGAAGATCCTAGATCTACTGGAAAATAGTTGTACTGTTTTTCCTTACGATCAACTGAACATCTGTTCCAAGACGTCTAAACCCCTGCCCTTCTTCATCTTCAACTTTGTATAAATCACACCTTAAGCAACACCAACCACCTCAGAGGGCTGATATTCAGTTTGTCCTCCCTGTCGAGTTCTTTTACCGTAGCCAGATTTTGGTCAAAAGTTTCTTCTACCAACCAGAACTTGGAACCAGTTTCTCTGAAGGGTTTCCACTTTTATAGTTTCCAGCTCTAGCAATACAAGGACCATCACAGTAAAAACCTAATAAAGAGCAGGTCCAGGGTTTTTCTTGCCCCGTCTAATAATTCCTTTATTTCACTCAGATGAATATTGTTAGGTTTTAGGGCCCGATGAAAAGCACCAAGGCACAGCTTGAGCACCCAGAGGGGTCCACACACTGGTCCAGTTCTCTTTCCAGTGACCAGGCCTGCCCTCTCCAGACAAGCTGTCATTTCCATTCCTATAAGGGCCCTGTTTAGAACAAATTACACAGGCCTATAGTTGCACACTGTCTTTACTGTGTTGCAAAATCACAATATACATAACAGACGAGGACAGAGTGGCCCTACATTTAAGATGGCTGCAAACAGCTTGGCAGTGATTTAAAAACTGTGAGGGTGGTGCTTTCAAGGCTGCATAGCACACACTGAACCTCTTTGATTAAAACAGCCTTGGCTCATAGGTACATGTAACAACGCCACCCTCACCTCTAATCTACACACGATGATCAAGTCTTCAAAGCTTGCAATCCATTTTAAAAAAGCCTTTTTTTTTTTTAAATCAACGTCTTTACTCTTAAAACACAAAATTTTTTTCATAATGTAACAAAGACGGCGACAACAATACTGCTACACAGTTAAAAGGTCACAGCATGTGTCTGCCTTGAGTGCACACTTGCAATGACAAACATTTGTGGGCGGTGCGGTGCGATTCAGCGGTCTCCTGAGGTGATCGCAGATCGTCGCAGCTCTGCCGTCAAGTAAAGTAAGCAAAGAGGGACACACGGCTCTGATTCCCCTTCTCTGTAGCTCTTCAACAAGCTCGTCCCATGAGAAAGCTTCACATCCTCATACAGTCCAAGAATCATACGCTTAATTTACAACTCGATTCCAATACGAAGTAATTTAGAGCCCAGGTGAGTGAGTTTAAAAGCCGTTGGGTTTTAGGTGCAGCAGTTGAGATGAAGCAAAACAAAGGAAGGAAGGAGGCCGGGCTGTGCCGATGAAGCTTTAATTCTAAATACCAGCTTATCGTGCCTCCTTTTCTTGCACCCTTCTAATATTTCACTCAACACTCAGCAAGTCACAGCCAAAGTTTCTGCCAGTTCAAAAGTGTAGCTGCAGATTCTGCATAAAAACGTGGCCACACAATCTAAAATGTTTTTTTTAACTAGATTACCCAACCACCAGCTGTTGCTAAAAGGTCTGCCTGCTTAGCAAAGCTAGAAGTGGCTTAGCTTAAAAACCTGCACTGAGACTATAGCTTGGTTTGTACGTTTGTCATTATTCAACGCCAAGTTTGTTGCAAAATCATAAAAAAACACAAACATGCCAAAAGCAAAACTTAAATACGTTTTTGTTGTATACAGGGATGGGAAGTTAAATTTTATTTCACTGCCAATTATCATGCAGACTAAGATCAATGTTACAGTTGCCAAAAACATACTTTAAATATTGCAAAAGAACCATTTCACCATGCTACCAGAAAAGAATACGTAAGCACAAACATTTTGAAGCATTACTAACAGAGACTGGCATCTGCTCAGTCGGTTCTTTATGTGACCTGCATTTAAAAACAACTAGTTTCACCTTCAGATCATAAGTGACTATATTCATTCCCATCCCTGGTTATAAACATGGTGCAGTAGGAGTAGGCTCAAACATTCAACAGAGGAAGCACTAAAGTGGAAAAAAAAAAATCTTGCAAAGAAAGTTTCACCCAACCAGCAATTATTCATGCAAGCACATATCCTAAAATCAGCAAAACCACGAAGGTACAGAAAAAGAAGAAGAAGAAGAAAGAAGCTAGTTTTGGGTTGCGCTCATTTCCCTCGTCAACCTGTCTGGTTTAGAATAGAAATGTAATCACAGATCTAACAGCCCAGCAGCTAAGGAATCATTCTCACTCAAGTCTCAAAACTCTATTAGCTCATATGTACCAATTCACGCCTTTAAAGCTTTGAGACAATTTAGTAAAAATGCTGGTCATCACCACCATTTTGCTTTTCTCTGCCAACAAACTGTCAGCAATATTGCATAAGATGCTGACTAAACCTAAGCAAAGAGAACATTTTTACATGTTAAAAAACAAAGCATCTGTTTTACAGGTCGACTGCCAGCCTCCATGAGGACAAGGATACGCTGAGAAATTTTAGAAGGATGTGCTGGGCGGGATGCTTGTTGCTCCTCATGGTCAAAGATGGTGAGCCCATTAGCTTCCCACAATGATTTCACCAGCTATAATTTAAAAACACTACATAAAAAGACTGGCTCTGTCTGAAAAGGTACAAAAACTTATCAGTCACAGCCAGAATCTACAAAAACTAAGGGTGTCATAATTTCCCACAATTAGAAGTCTTCACTAAAGGTGGGGGTGATAACAATAAAGAACCCAGTAAGGTCTAAACAAAGTGTGGAGAATGGCTGATTTGTCTGTGTAATTGCATACTTTGTTTGCATTGATGTAAATGTGCAAGTTCGAACGAAAACACCACATGAAGGATTTAGCACCTAGAAGACGACTGCTGTTCCTCCTCACCGTAGAGATACGGCAAAATGTTTCCGATTTCTATTAACTGTGGTGACTAAAGAGGAGGCTAAATATACTTCAGAATATCAACATTCGTAAATAAAATCACTGCCAAAAATGGAAGTAAATCTCTGTGTGCACAGTATTGCTCTCATTTCAGCGTGTCTTAATCCATAGTTTGTTTTCTTCTGATTATATGCTAGCTGCATTTGACTTTTCACTGCAACGTTCATCCTCAGTTCCTCACAAATTTCAATCACAGTAAATGTCAAGTGCTAATGTCAACAAAGTCCATCCAACCAGTTACCAGGAACAGGAAACATTGGAAGAAGCTGGTGCAAAAGCAGCAATGAGATGTGGTTTGGCCCTGGGCTCAACAGCTTTATGGCAACTGCAAAAAGATGAATCCACTGAGAACAGCAATAATAATAATAATATACCTTTATATTTTGTTTGGTAGTGCCACATAAGTTAACTCACCGAAGTATAGACAGGTATTTTGTTTCAGCATGATCTCTTTGTTTTTTGGTGTTATTTACATCTATTGTACAAAAATCTCGAGCACTGAGCCAACACAGTCAAAGCTTCCAGATCTGCAGGTAGTAGGTGTAGGATTTCTCTTCTTCTGTTTTATTATTGCATTTACAGCAACAGAATGCACCAAAGGTCCTTTGAATTTAAAACATGGGCTCACTGCCACCCAACATCTACAGTGATCCACCTGCGATCAACGGGCAACAAATTATTGCAATGACGCCGATGTTGTCCACCAGTAACTTTTTTTTAAAAATAATTGTATTTCCCACCTCTGTTGCTGTTTTTGTGCCAAGCAAAAACAATAAGATTTTAGCACCTTATTTGAAAGAGAGGGCAGAGCAGATTGGATCAATGCCTCTCAAACATCAAGCATTCAGTTCAAGGACACTTCAATAACTGCTGGTAGAAAAGTCAAATGCCAGATAAATTTATTCACACAGGCTCACTGACCAGAAGGCCACACACTAAGATACAACCTGTCCAATTTTACGGATGATTATTGAGAACACAGACACATATTTCCTCTTTTATGGCCAGTGGATAAAAGCTGTGCTGGACATTAAACAGTTGCCAGCCACAGTGTTTAACCTGGTAGTTAAGAATAATACCTGGTATGGCTGACGTCTGCACAGAAACTCACCGATTGTTTACCAAGTTAAACAACAAGTCATAGGATTTTAAAATGATGCAATAATAAGAAAACCCTACACTTAGTACCTTCAAGTTCAACTTAAGTGTCTGGGAAAAGATGGTCATTTTTTAAAAACAGGAACATTTACACAGTTACAACTCACAAAAGTGCATCAATGACCACCAGTACGGGAGGATTTGGGGAAACAAAAGAAAAAAGTGAAACAAATACTTTTTCCTTGCATGAAGCTTTTCTTCCTGTAAGCTTCAGGCAGTTTAAAATGTCGAAACATCTGCCAAAGTAGAGATAAAATCTGAACCTTAAAAAAAAAAAAATTCAAGTCATTCTTCTTGTCTTACAAAGCCCGCTGTGCGCATCAGGGTGGAAGGGCCTCAGTTTGTTTAACAAAGCACTCCCAGACCCCTTTTTTCCCGGATTTCAATGCCTTAGGAAAAGCTCTCATTTCATGAGTACAGTACTTCAAAATAGAAACTTAATCAAGTTTCAGCATGAACAAAAAACAAGCAAAAATAATCTAAGTTTTCAAGATCGAACAAATTCACTTAGATAATGTGTTTGCATGTCCTTAGTAGAATTGTTTTGATGGTGGACAGGTTATTCAAATGCTTCGCACCTGATTTTAAGCTAAAATTAAACATAAATAACAAACCAGCTGGTTATGAATATAATATACAGAGGTGCAAGTAGCAATAACTGTAACTAAAGTAAAAGAAAAGAAAAATGCCTTTTATGCAGAAGCAAAGACCCCTCATGAGGTGAAGATGTGAACATTTGAAATTTCACTTAAGACATTTACTGTACGCGTCAGATAAAACTATACTTCTTGAGTGAATACCCCTGTGCAGGGAAACAGTAAAGAATGGTGAAAATGCATGTGTGTGTGTGTGTGTGCATGAGTGAAAGTGTATTAGAAAATGTTAGAAATTTTATCTGAGTATCATTTAGATTTTACCTCAATTAATGTACACAATTTTCAGGGATCTGTGTGTGTGTAAATGCGTCCATGAATGATTGTGAAAATACAGTTAAGCCTGGTGACAGGGAACATGTGTGTGTGTGTGTGTGTGTGTGTGTGTGTGTGTAAGAGCTGGTACAACAAAACCAGCAGGTGCTGGAGTTAAGCAAAACCCAACAAGAGGAAGCAGCGACAAAGCACAGAAGGCCGTGTTGATGATCCTGGTGTGCGTCGGATCCTGACCAATCTGACCGTGGCTCCCTAAGTCAGCTGGTGAGGCGCCTCAAGCATCTCCATCAGAAAGGTGTCAATAGGTGTGTCACCAATCAGTTTAAAGAAGAACAAATGCTCCAGGCACTTCAGACCGATGGAGCGCAGTGCTGGGAGTCGAAGGAGGAGCTTTGCAAACCTGGAAGATGGAGAACTGGGTCAGAAGAGAAGAATTTCAACAAACTGATTTGAAACAAACACATAAATGACAACACCTCTTGCTTGTGCGTTATTCTGTGCAATACTTTACCTGCCCTGCTGGTCGGGGTATTTCTGTTTGCAGTAAGATTCAAGAGATGCATAAACCCTCTCTCTCAGAAGCTCCACCTCACTGGAGTTGGACAAACCCTTGGCATCTAAAAAGAACAACAACGGTTACATTTCTTTTTATTTTAATATTCTTTCAAAACTCTAGACATTTATAATTTTAAGGTATTGATCCAAAGGATGTTTTCACATGCATTTCAACATTCGAAGAGTGCGTACCTGGGTTAAAAAGAATAATAGCACGAAGGCAGCCCAGCTCCGTCTTGTCCATTTGCATGTCCCTCATTTTGCTTACAAGCTCGGTCAAAACTCTGAAGAGATCAGAGACATGCAGTGGGACGTTCCATACAGAGACAATAACACATTTAATCAGTTATTGAAGAGGAAAAGAAGCAAAAAATAAGATAATGGAAGAATAAGACAAAAAGTGTAGAACCCAAATAAAACAAAAAAACAAACAAAACAAGAAGGAAAATAAATGTTAAGAAAAACAAACGTCATAATCAACACATTGTAATTTATAGTTGACCTCAATTTGATGACTTTTTAAAAAGTTAACTAGTTTTGGTGTGGTTGAACTGCTGGTTCTGCAGACAAGTAGGGAAAACAAGATAATTGTCAGGGCCACAAAAATCCTGTCTCTAGACAACTTAGTGATTGTGTGTTTTAACAGGCCTACTAAATATTAAAACTACCGATCGAAGGGAAAAAATAAACAAAGTTACTGTTTTGTCCTCAACAGATGCTTTTGAGGTGGTAAATGCATTTATCACACAGGGGTCATGGGACAAAATCACTTTAAAACTTCAAGCCTTTAACAGTCAAATTTCTTATAAATGATTTGCTCACTAGAAAAACTGACAAAGTTAATGACATTGTCTAACAGTTTTAATGTGTAAATTATGATTTCAGTAAAACTCTTTCAACTTATCAACTATAATATAACGAGCTTGGATTATAATTTAGTTATCCGCAGCATAAAAACCCGGGCAGCTTTAACAACGGTTACTGCTGTTGCAGAATTAACTTTTCCTCTTGCTGCATTTTCACATTCGTAACACTGACTGACAACAGCACAAACGGCTAGATCAATATTCTATTCAAAGGTTCAGCAGAAAAACAAAAACAACAACAACCAAAACAAACAAAAACAGAAAAAACTAATGATTTGAGAGAGACTCTGCAGAGGAGATGTCATTATCCACATCTCTGCAATGCTTGACGAAAAAAAAATAAATAAAAAATAAAAACAGAACAAATATTCATGCATTAAAACCTTTGGCATGCAAAGAATCAAATTGTAGTATTAATAGATCGTGTGCGCATCGACAAAGTGCATATCAGTTGGGAGACAAAATTACAACGAATATTGTCTAAAACAAAACACGACTTCCTTATGAAAAAAAACAAAAACATAAATGCAAGAATTAGTCAGTAAGCCTGGCATCCAACAAATCAAAATGTGTCGACAAAACAAGCCAACATATTTATTTACCTTTTTTAAGCAGATGGTTAAAATGTTAAAAACAATAAGTCAAACACCGTAAGAAACTGCTTTTCGAGAGGTCTGCTTTTAATTAATGTATGCCATGAGCAACAGCAAAATTACTTCCAGACTTTATACAACTTCCTTCTTTAATCACAAAGGCTGGTTTGGTCGATCTCAGAATTTTGTAACTTTGTTATAAACGTAACGGAGTTCTTTAAGAAAGAACTCTTAAGTGCCTAATCATGTTTCATCAAGAAGGTATGGTGCTTCATAAAGTGTTGGGCAAAAAGACAAACGGTTGTGCTAGTAAGAGTGTTTCTGTCAGACTTGAGCAAAAGACAGAAGGTACCAAACGTTATTACTATAAAACATCTTATTTAATATTAACGTTTAGGGATGAATATCTACTTATGATAAGACTTTTACAGGTATGACTTGAACACTGCTGTACGAAGAACTTTAATCACAAAACACAGCGGTCAAATGCTTTATCAAATCTGGTGGAGCAAGATGGAAAAGTGATTTTGATTCATATCTAAAATGCATGTAACTGATGCTATAACATGGTTGTTTGCCAACACAGGAGGTTTTTATTGATAAGGGGCAACATAAGTTCCAAAACGTTCCATGACCAATTTGGAAATGTCAAAACTAAGCACTAGAACAAAGCAGCATCAGGTCTCACATCCCCAAACCACGTCCTGCTAAACTTCAACTGGAAACACTAGTTCCACAGAACTAATCCACACATTTTCTTTTTGTTCTTTGGTTCAACAAACACTTTGCTGAAGAGGAAAAAGATCCTGCAACAACAAAAAAGACTGGGGTCAAAACAAACGCCTACAGATCTTTAAATGTCAGGCCCAAACTATTTTCAATGGACTTTGTTTGTTCAGGTTTATACTCTGTAGAAACAAACAAACAAACAAAAAAAATACTGTTAAATTAAATTAAAACCTACAATTAAAAAAAGGTATACAACCTTTGATTTTGTTCTGTCTATTTTAGTGTCTCAAAGAGGAGGGGTTTAAGAAAAGTGTTTGTGTAGTGGCGTAATTACCTGTCAAATATGGCCCCAACCTCAGCATTGTTCGCCCTGTGTATTCAATCACAATGTGTTATTACAATGTCATTGCACAGGTAGATTGTCATTAACAGTAAGCTGACCGTTTACTGAGCACATTAACTGTACATAAAGTTCATGCTGATGTAGGATTTTGCAAGATTAAAATTGTACTCTGTTTTCAGATACATTAAAAAGTAATGTTTATTTTGATGTCTGGACCTTTTTGTTCCCAAAAGTTGCTCTTGCATTAAAACACCTATATTTACAGCGCAGTATGACAAATGGCTAAAAGTAGGCTAAATAAATGATAAATAATAAAGTTTTGAATCAAACTATAAATCTAAATAAACCCATATACTCTCAAGTAGAAGTTAATGATACATTTTATGATTCAAAACAGCAAACAAATTGTATAAATGATAAATAATAA